CTGTGAAGTCCCGCAAACAATGCCTGCTGTGCGGGAGATGAAAGCCGGACTCTGGGTGGCAGGGCGCGTTTGAAGTCACCGAAAGGTGGGGCCTCGGGAATCCGTGGGAGCAGATGGGAGGAGATAAAGCCAGGTGAGAAGGGCGCGGCGGCCAGCATCTCCCTCCCCAACACTCCTGGGTCTGGGGTTCGCCAACTGACGCGGCCTCCAGAACCCCGGCCGAAGCCAGCCCCCGGCGGCACACAAGGGGACACCACTCCCACCTGCACCCCTGGCCTCTGCCCGCACCGCTGCAGCCCTTGGGCCGGAGCCCCCAGCCTGGACTCCGCCTGGCGCTCTCTCTTCCCAGGCTGGGAGCCCGGGGGAGAGCGTAAGGCTCGGTCCCCACGATCTCCCTTGGCCTGGCTGGGCGCTCACGGAGAGACACGAGGTGAGCGCGGGCACTGGGATTCCAGGATGAAGGTGATGGGTGATCAGTCACCCCCAGTGGTCTTGAACTCCCCAACTTCAACCGTTAGGACTGCTCTGAAAAATAACTAGGACGCCCACAAGCGTCTTCGGACATCTGGACACCAGCCAGGGGAGCCGAGTTCCGCGTGGAGTTGGGGGAGTCCCGGGTTCCAAGCGTGTGCAGCGTGCACCCGAGTGCGCTGTCGGCGTGAGAGCACCTGCAGCCCCAGGGGCTCCGGGGCTGTGCAGATTTCCACCCCCTACTCCCCTGTCCCCAGATCCCGTGAGGGTTCCCCTTGCAGGCCGAGCGGCTGTGGCTCCGCCTTTTCCTCGACGCTAGGGTGGAGAGGGTGGCGCAGGTGTGAAGGTTCACGTTTCCCGGCCTTCAGGCCTGCGGATAACATTTTCCAACTCCCAGGAGGAAATAAAGAAGGAAAAAAAAGTCCCTCCCCTTCACATTTCTATTTTGCCGTTGTTTTGTTTCTGCTACTTTGAGGGTGGGGGATGAAAAGCAAAGTTTCTACATAAGAATGTCGCAGCACACACAGTCCCGCAAAGTGTTTCTTCTTCAGGGAGCTTTAGAAAAACCCCCTGTCCTGCTTTCTGCATGCTCAAGGAGCAGAATAATGAAACCAAAGACTTTTATTTTATAAACCACTTGATCTTTGCTTGGGAAACTCTATTAATTGAATGGGTTTGCCTTTTTTGCCAGTCCCCTTTATCATTATTTATGGGCTTTAAATTGTTTAAAGTTCCCTTGACGTTCAATTTACAAGTTTGGGGACTTTTTTTGTTCTGCCTTTTGTCCTGGAGAAAGACATCGTGTTGGAAGTGCTTTGAAAAGCCAAACATGAGAGGTTGGCAATGAAAGGGAAGCGGGCGAGATCCCTTTTAATTCCGTCCTGTTGGTGAATGGCTCTTTTACATAATTGCAGGAGCTATTTCAAAGCCAGCCAGAGGCTGACTTCACTTAGAACCACATGGAGTCTATTTTGGGCTTTCAGATTAAAAAAAAAAAAAAAAAAAGCTGAATAAAATGTTTAAAAAGATGAGGCTTCAATGCCTTCTGCTACTTGCAAATTGGTGTGTCTGATGGGGAATTTTACACAAGCACCCCTTTGTACGTCGTCCTGAGCTCGGGAGGGACTTCAGGGTTAGCTGAGTGTGAATTCCAATTGCCCTTCCATAAATAAAACCCATCCCAAGTTATTTCCCAACTATTGCCAGGAGCAAGAGCTGCAGTAATGACCAAACGATCGGGCTCCTCAAAATCCCTGTAAATAAAAACAACTCGGTTGCCCGAGAAACCAGCCGGTCACTTACGACTGGGCGACTGGAGGGAGCGCCAGACCCGCGAGGCCCGCAGGATTCCCGGCGTCCTCCGAGACCACGGGCGCCCACACCGTCTTCTCTCCACTACCACCCGCGACATCAACTCTGGCGGCGGCAGCAAAGCCCGCGATTCGCGGTGCTTCCTCCTCCGGGCTGGGCTGGGCAGGCCAGCGCAAGTCTGCTGCATGAATATTCATTTACCTGTGCGTTTTCTGTTTTACCCTCAGCCTTCACACATCTGCTTGCAAGCGCAGCCTGGGACAGCCCCGAAGCCAGGGGCCAACTTAATTAGCATCACTTTTTCGGAATGTCTGCGCTTTTAAGTGGCATAATCGGAACCTGGCACTAGCCTAGCACCTGTCGAGTAAAGTGCCCAGGAGCAAAGCTATCTTCATCTAGTGGGGAGGGAAGTCGAGGGAAGTCCACGAAGTTAACTGGAGTTGGAGGACCCAGCTCTCCCTTCGGGTGCGCCCTTCATTTTTCCTAATTGGAGGGGGGAGGGGACAAAGTTGCAAACATCTGTGCCCGTTAATTTTCCCGCGCCGACTGGGCCGAGCTGAGTCACGGAGGACTCTGCAATTTGAGGCTGTTGCGAACTAAGCAGGTAGGAATCCGGAGGATGGATAAGCCCTGTATCTGTCGCTCCTGCCCATAAATCTCTCCCAGGAGCCGAGGAAAAACTCTAAAGGCTTTTATCATTCGCAGTCCCCACGCTCTGAACGCTTTGCGGGTAGCTGAGGTGCCCCCAATGAATCTTGTTAATCACGCCGAAACACAAGGATCCTTTTATGACACGAACAGTCGTTTTCTAAGCAGTTAAGCATTAAAGTATTACTGCATCGCATTCGCGAAAAAGGCACTAGTAAATAAAATTCATATTGATGAGAATTATCCGAACTCACTAATAAAAGATTAGTATTATAACCCTTGCGGTCAATACTTTCTATGGCAATTTATGGATGCAAACAACATGCCATCAAATTATTTCAAGTGTAGCTGTAATTCAACAGACCTAAATCTTCTTGCTGAACTTTAAATGTAGAATTATTACCAAATAATCAAAGGAATCCCTGTCTCTCGGAGGGTAATCAGGCGACAAAAGTCCCTAGAACAATATTGTTGCGGCGAAACAGCAAAGTGCATGGCAAACCTACCTAGGCAACATGAATAACAACTTCCCCGGCCTGCCAGTGGCAAGCCGGAAGGGCCCCGGCTGTGGCCACGTAAATCAAGGAAGGAGTGGAGCGTTTCTTAGTATTCAAAAAACAAGGTAATGGCACCGAAGTCTGTGTTCCTGTAACTATCTCATAATGGGAGGGAACACTTATTATGCTCATAAAGAAATCAGCCTTTTGCCCTGAGCTTCAATTTTTTTTTTTTTCCTTTTTCTTCTTTTCTGGGAGTGAAAAAGGAGGACTGGAGCCTGGAGACCCCACAGACACCTCCTTCCCCATGGATCCCAAAGGGAATTCATTTCCCTTCACACCGCCTAAGCCACCTCGGGGTCTGGGCGTGAAGTCAGGGGAGGCAATACAGGCAGAGTCCTAATGAATTCCTTTCAAACTGCCTGCTGCCGGAGCGATCTATTACTGCGGCCTGGAGTGGGGAAACGCGCTCGAGACGTCTTTGTCCGGGTGGTGGTGGGGAGGGCGGAGGAGGCAAGGAGGAGGAGAGGGCTGGCTGTCGGGACCAGTGAGTTTTCCCAGCGCCCCTGAAGGACGAACCCTCCCCTCTTTCCTTCAGGCCCTCTGGGTGGGCAGTGGGTCTCCGGCGGGACTCCGGCGGAGGAGCTGATCTGGGATTAAGACGTCCCCCGGGGGTGGGGGCAGGATTGGAGTTAGAGCGAGAGAAGGAACGCGAAAAAGAGCTTCAAAGAACCGGGTCGATAAATTCATAAAGATCGATTTATCTTTATCTCCCAATTAAATGTGCTTGTAAGTGATACATAACACACGTCCAACACGGGCCAACTCCCCAACCACTAGCTCCTCGGCGTGAGCAGATTTTTAATGACCGAACTAACAATGCCCTTCTTCCCTTCTTCCCAACCCGGTGCTCTTGGCGGTTCAGGGCTGATGTCTAGACCCGGGAAGTTGAAGCTCGGGCCTTGGAGGCGCGAGGAAGCCCCTTGCGCGCTGGCGCGCTTTGCAAGGTCTGCCCTTGTCACAAATGATTCCATCTTTAAAGGAAGGACAAGAGCTGAAAGTTTTTGTTTTAAAATGGAGGAGGGGGATAAGAACGTCCCTCGTTTCCCTCCACCCGCAAATTCCCTTACTTCCAAATCTGAGGGTCTTTACCATTGTCGAGAACAGGGGAAACATCCTGAGGGATCGGCTCCATCCCGCAGTCAGCAGAGGAACCGCGCGCCCGCGAGTCCTCGCGCTGGAAACTGGGCGGCGGAGTCAGAGTGAGCACTCCCCGCGTTCGCAACGTGCTTAATTAGCGCCTATTTACAAAACGCAGCTTTTATTTGAGCAAACATCATAAAGCTTTCATCAGGATAATCTCACGTTATACAATCTGGAGGCACAGCAACTCCCCCTTCCTCCCCGAGGATGGAGTAGATAAAGGACTCTCATTATTATCATAATTATCGTGGTTGTTATTTTGGTGCGCGCAGGCAAAGTGTGTAAATAGGTGCGATGATTAAGAATGTCATGAAAAATGAGAGACGGGATCGTTTACGGGAGGGCCCAGTCCGGGATGGGGGAAGCAGCAGCCTCCCCGCCCCACCCGGAGCGCGGACCCGCAACAAGCAACCCGGCGGGTTCCCGAAGGCGGGCAGGGGCTGCCAGCTCCCAGCCTTCGCCCCAGGGGTGGATCCGGAGGGGCAGGACCCTCGCGCGGACCCCAGGCACAGCCAGAGCACCCAGCGCTGGAGCGAGCCGCAGGCAGACTGGTTCCACTCCAAATACAGTAAAAGACATAAAGCACCCCGGACCAGCCACGGGGGTGCGGGCCGGGGAGGCTGCCCTTGGAGGCGGCCTCGACAAGGCTGCAAGGCACCAGGGTCCGAGCCTTGGAGGTGCCATCCGCCCCTCTCAAGTTTGCGCGGCGCGGGCTGAGCAAGCAGCTCCGGCTCCCCCGCCTGCGCGCTCCGACGGTGGCGCCCGCAGCCCGCTCGCTGCCAGCTTGGGTGGAAGGGGCGGGGCCCCGGTTTCGCCCCGCCCCCGCCCCGCGCCGCCAATGGCCAGCGGCGTCCAGCCCCACGTGAGACGAGCCGGCCCGGGCGGCAGGCAAAATGTGAATGAGAAAGAGGAGCGCGATTTAAAGGTGCTGGCGGCGCCCGCCGGAGACAAGTACGCCGGCTTCGCGCGCTCCCCTGCGGCCCGCGGGAGGCGACGGACAGCGGGACAGACGGACGGACGCACGGACAGCAGCTAACCGGGGCCGAGGGTCGCAGCTGCGACGAGCGCGGGCTCCGACGGGCAAGCGGCGGACGGGGGCTCCGGCGAGCCCGCGGGGCCCGGGCGCCCTCTCCACTCCGGGGCGCACGGCCTCATCCCGCGCACCCGCCGGGCATGAAGCGGGCACAGGACTGAGCGGAGGAGGCGTCGGCTCTCCGGTCCCCGCTCCGTCCCTGCCTGGCGCTCCCGGAGGTGCTCCCGGCGTCCGGCGGGCTTCCCGGCGGCGGCGCGGCGCGGGGACTTTTCGCCTCTCGCTGGCCTCTCCCGAGCGCGTCTATGAGCGCAGCGTTCCCGCCGTCGCTGATGATGATGCAGCGCCCGCTGGGGAGTAGCACCGCCTTCAGCATAGACTCCCTGATCGGCAGCCCGCCGCAGCCCAGCCCTGGCCATTTCGTCTACACCGGCTACCCCATGTTCATGCCCTACCGGCCGGTAGTGCTGCCGCCGCCGCCGCCGCCGCCGCCCGCGCTGCCCCAGGCCGCGCTGCAGCCCGCGCTGCCGCCGGCACATCCGCACCACCAGATCCCCAGCCTGCCCACCGGCTTCTGCTCCAGCCTGGCGCAGGGCATGGCGCTCACCTCTACGCTCATGGCCACGCTCCCCGGCGGCTTCTCCGCGTCGCCCCAGCACCAGGAGGCGGCAGCGGCCCGCAAGTTCGCGCCGCAGCCGCTGCCCGGAGGCGGTAACTTCGACAAAGCGGAGGCGCTGCAGGCTGACGCGGAGGATGGCAAAGGCTTCCTGGCCAAGGAGGGCTCGCTGCTCGCCTTCTCCGCTGCCGAGGCGGTGCAGGCTTCGCTCGGTGAGTCGGCGGCGCGCGCAGCCGGGACGCGGGGGCGGGAGGAGGCGGGGGCGGGCCAGCGCCGGGTTCCCGCGGGAGACCAGGGGGGCGAGGCCGCGCCCCCGCTCGACCCCCGCCCGAGGAGCAGAAGCATGCGGCCCGGCTGTGCCGCTGGGCCTCCGGGGGGCATTCAGAGCCACGCAACAACCGTGGTCTGGGGGTGGGGGGCATTTAGCGCTCGGCGACCAGCTGCTGCCCTGGGCCGCATATCTATCTGGCGATACGTTTGGCCAAGTCCGCCTGTCCCGCTCCGCGGTGACCTCGGGTCCCGGGTAGGTTGCAGCCTCTAGGGGAGTCGGTTGGGCTGCGCGTCTCAGCCATGCCTGTGCCCACGGGCGCCCAGACTTTTTAAACCCCTTCACTGGTCTTGCTACTTGTCCAGGAGAAACCGATTGATTGCTTGGAGGCTGTGTGTCTGCGTGTATGTGTGTGTGTGTGTGTGTGTGTGTGTGTTGGGAGTGTCTGGTGGGAACTTCTAAGGCCACAAAACATCCCTTTGACCCACGTTGTCTGTCTCAAAAAACAGTCTGGGATCTGCACGTCCCTACGCCCCCAACCCGGGTAGGAAGTAATTTAGGTTCACTAAATTTTCGTAGTGGGGGAGGCAGGATGGATCGTGAATCCCCCCTCAGTTCTCAACCAGCTCCCACTCCTGGGACGAAGCGGGCAATCTCTTGGGCCTCGAGCCTCCTGCTACTTCTCCCGATGCTGCTGAGGCTGGGAGGGTGCGGGGGAGGCATGGCAACCCTTTGAGTGATGGTTCTGGGCAAAGGGCCGTTGCGGCTGCCTCCTCTCCTTTGAGCTTTCTCACGCTCCCCCCACCCCTCCTCTACCCCTCAAAGGCCAGGAAATCACAATGTGTTAATGTCATAGAAAGACAATCCGCTAAAGGTGGGGGGGTGCGATTGCCCAAGTGACGGTGGGAAGGAGAAAGGAAGGCCAGCGTGAGAAATGTAATAAAATGCCGTTTGGTTTTGCTTTCAGTCGGGGCTGTCCGAGGGCAAGGGAAAGACGAGTCAAAGGTGGAAGACGACCCCAAGGGCAAGGAGGAGAGCTTCTCGCTGGAGAGCGATGTGGACTACAGCTCGGATGACAATCTGACTGGCCAGGCGGCTCACAAGGAGGAAGACCCGGGCCACGTGCTGGAGGAGACCCCGCCGAGCAGCGGCGCGGCGGGCAGCACCACGTCTACGGGCAAGAATCGGCGGCGGCGGACTGCCTTCACCAGCGAGCAGCTGCTGGAGCTGGAGAAGGAGTTCCACTGCAAAAAATACCTCTCCTTGACCGAGCGCTCGCAGATCGCCCACGCCCTCAAACTCAGCGAGGTGCAGGTGAAAATCTGGTTCCAGAACCGACGGGCCAAGTGGAAACGGGTGAAGGCAGGCAATGCCAATTCCAAGACGGGGGAGCCCTCCCGGAACCCTAAGATCGTCGTCCCCATCCCCGTCCACGTCAGCAGGTTCGCCATTAGAAGTCAGCATCAGCAGCTAGAGCAGGCCCGGCCCTGAGGGTCCAGAAGGGCCAGGGTCTGGCACCCACCTGGAGAAGCCCCGGCACCCGAGGGAACCCATGGTGGACTCCACTGTGTTTGAAGCAACACTCGAAGTCACAGCCCAACTGTGGCCATCCCAAGCAAATTGAGAATATATTCACTACATGGGCTTAAAAGACTGCTTTTGAAGGGACTTACTGCCACACCAGAAGACACTCGAAATATTTATTATACTATGCTACTTTGTACATAAATATGTCCATAGACTGGATCTCAGCGGCAGTATTTTGAAAGTTATAGGACTTAATTACCCAATAATGTTCTCCACTCATTTCAGAAGAAAACCAAACCTCTGCTGTAATCCGCGCGGTTAGCAGCCTCCTTTCCATACTTCTCCAAAGGTAAACGTGAAACCCAAGAACAAGCGCTGGGGTTGAAACTGATTTTGGTTTGCGTTCTGGCTTTTTGAGTTGACTGAGAAGCAGACGCTATTAGGCAGCCTGGAAATTCGCTTTGCTTTGCTTCGGTTGCGCCTGGCTTTGGTTTCCCCTGGGGTTGCCTATCGTATCTGAGCCATGTGAAGCACGTCTCCGTTGTGTTAATTTATTTCAATGTAGCTTATTTTCTTATAAGTTATGACGTTTAAACAATTTCAGTCTTGTGAATAATAAAAAGGACAGGGGGAAGAAAGACCAATCCCTGGGCCTCAGAAGTGTGTCTAGAATTTGACTGTCCGGGCACTGCCAGCTTGCGGCCAGACAATTGGTCTGGGACCAGTACTGGAGAAACGTCCCCTGGCCAGGTCTCCTTAGGCAGGATGGAGTTCAACCACCTAGCATAGGAGGCTGGGCGCCAATAGGGTACGAATTTTAAAACACCGAATTCTCACCTTAGAAATCTATCTCCCGTTTTGCACAGAGCCTAATAGATACGTGGGCCATATAGGCCGGCAAACTTCGGCCAGAGGAGGCGGTGGGTACCCGGAAGAGGCAAGCGAGTGCGGGTATTGGTGGCTTTGCCCAAACTCCTGATGCTCCAAACCGACTACAGCCAGGGAGGAAACGTCCTTCCTTTACAAATATCTCAGACCCAAAAAGAAGCAGTGCTCGCCTGCCCGCAGAGTGGAGGGTCCCATAAATCAGGTTCCCGGCGTTATCTGCCGACTGGAGCAAAAACCCAGCGAGCCCAGCCCGCTTCCCGGCAGCCCTCAGTCGGAGGCGGAGGCGGGCTGGAGCGCCCACGGCCCGGGCACCTCCCCCTCCGGGCGGGGTCGAGGGGGCGGGACCCGGCCGCCGCCCCACCCCATGGTCGCCCCGGTGGTCCGCACCACAAATGGGGAAAGCGGAGAGGCTACGCAGGGGAGCTAGGGGGTCGGTGTGCTGGGGCCGGGGAGCTGGGCGTCTCCCCATCTCGGTGGGGCGTGCCGGGTCCCCAAGCCCATTCCTGTCCCACCCCTGGCCGCTCCCTGCGCGACCCGGAAGCGCGCAGCCAGATGCTGCGGCCCGGCCCGCGAGAGGCTGCGGTGGACAGGCCCGGGGCGCCCAGGGTCGTGCAGCGGGCCAGCGAGGGTGAGCGTGATGCCACCAACCCAGCAGCCCAAAGCGCGAGAGGAGCCTGAGCTTCGCCAGCCTCAGCCTTTCGAGTGGAGGGAGGGAAGGCCGGGGAGCCGCCTCCATGCAGCGGCGCTCGGCGCTCTGCGCTGTTCTCAGCTCCAGAAGTGGAAGCGCGGCCCGCTGTGGGTTAACACTAACAATGACTCAATTTTTACTACTTACAGGCCGTCACCTCCCCGCGGCGGAGGGGCCTGGGGACCAAGACCTCCACTCAAACTTCAGGCGCAGGGTGAAGGCTGGCAGCGACCGAGTCACCCTTTCCCGCCGCGTTCCCAGCTGTTCCGGTGGCGGAAAATGGCCCAGGCTTGGTTTTCGAGCCCAATAAAATAGAAGGGCCAGTCCTCCGAGGGCCTCGGCTTGCTCTGCGGGGCCGCGAGAGCTGCAGCGGCTCCTGGCCGCCCCCACGCCCTGCGCCATGAAGCCTGGCAGGGAGGGGATGGTGTCCGGGTCACGCCCTGGCCCGGCGCGGGGACCGCAGGGCCCGGATTCCGCCCGCCAGGACGCAAAAGCGCAGGTCGCCGGTGAGCGCCATCTGCTCGGGGCAGGTCCCCACTGGCCACACGACGCTGCTGCAGCATTCGAGGCTTGCAGGGACGCCGTCCCCCAACCCACACACCTGAGCCAGTCTACCCCCGAGCCGGATCTGAGCCCCTGGCGAGAACCGTGGCTAGGGGCACAGAGTTTAGCCGGGAAGGTGGGGGAGCTGTGGCCTCAGTCCCGCGGGGACTGCGGGTGGGGGGAAGAGACCCTGGCATTCCCCGCAGATCCTGCAATGCCCCCCATATCCCCTTCCACCATAACAGGTGTAACCCCCACCCGCCTTCTCCAAAAGCCCATGGCAGGGATGAGGGGCACAGAGGGACCCGAAGCCTTGACCGCGCAAACCCGGCGGGAAAATAAAGTCCTGTAGGACCGCGAGGCCGCTAATCAGGAAGCCCGGCTCCTGGGACCAAGCTCTGGGCCCTCCCAGCCTCGAGGTCCTCGCCCTTTGGAGGCACGAGGAGAGGGCCCGACCTCCTGCTCCTCAGGGCGCTGACCCCCTCCCTCCCCAACCCCTGAGCGCCCAGCGGGGAGGCCAAGGCCCGGGAGACAGGCCGAGGGGAGGAAGATAAACAAGCGGCGCTTGATGGCCGCTGTCATCATGGCCGTCATCATGGCTTTCATTTGGCTGCCTAATGAGTCACATCACAGGCAGAGAGAAAAATTGTCAATCGCCCGAGCCCTAATGAATTTTTTTGCAAATTGTAATCAAGCCAGGCCGTCTCAGCTGGCTGATTAATGAGACCCACGAGGCTCGGCCAGCACCTCAGCTTTTTATTCCATCCCGTCCTCCCTGCACTAAATTAACAGCAACTTGTCTGAGCTTCAAATTAACTCCCAATGATTAATTCTGATGGGGGGGCCTGAAGAATAGCTTGTTCTAATAGGCTCTGGCCTGAGATGCTGTTGGAAATTAATACACTTCCCCTTTGGCTGCCGGCTTTAATCCAAGGTTGGGTTTTGACATCACTATATTTGTTGTTACAATAAATTCCACTTACATCTGCAGATCAAATAATTACGCTTGGGAGCTCCTCGGACCTGCACCCCCAGCTGTGCACTGGGAAGCCTCAGGGCTCCTGCACCCCGCAGCCACCGACCCAGGCAGAGGTCGGAGGGGGCCACAAGAACTCCACCCAGTGGCCCCCTGCCCTTGCTCCCTGGCAAGCCAGGCCCCCCTGCCCCCTTGGAGAAATGAAGGTACTCTGAAAATCTGCTGCCATCTCCCTGTCCTTGGAGTAGGCCCTCTTTAGCTTGGTCCTGGGCCTCAAGCAACTTCCTCTTCGGAAAGGAGCTGGGGAGTACCCTCCCAGCAGCCTGGACCACCTGAACTGGAGGCTGCTCAAATCCCAACCTGCGCTGGAATTTTCAAGACTCAATGCATGCTTGTGTGCCCAGCCTTTGCCTCCGGTCTTCAGACCCCTGGGTGGTTCCTTCACAGCTGCCTTGTCTGCTAAATGGAGATCAGGGGGTGGCCCTCTAGGCTCTTTTGAGTCCGGGTTGGCCTGAGAAGACATCCTGACTCTATGGGTGTCTGTGTGCCTGGCCGCTTGTACCAGCCTGGGCTTATTGCTGGAACCTGCATTCCAAGACACCCTTCCTCTCGGTCACCACCCTCTCGGTCTCGTTTCTGTTTGTTTGAGCTTAACTGGCTTACTAATTTCAGCCGGCGTCTGGTGAGGCTTGCACAGGCCTTCCAAGGCTGCTCCCTGCAGCCCCAGACCTGTCTGGAGCAGAGCCCTGCACTAAGCCCCGTGCTATCCCCCATGGCAGGTGGTTCTAGATGCCGTGTAGACTGGGAGTGGCATTGTAGCTTGCCAGCCCCCGGAGCCTCTGGATCACCCTCTGGTTCTCACCCCAGGGCCTTCCTACTCCCAAGTGGCTACAGCCCAGGAGTTCAGCACCCCTGGCAACAGAGACCCACTCCAGGCCCTCCTCTTTCCCCTGCTGGACTTGGCAGCGGCGTGGGAGAGCGGCTTGCTCATGCCCAGCTGCAGCTTCTCAGGGAAGGAGGCTCCAGTGCACACACACCTATTTCTGTCCACAGAGACCCCAGGCCTTTGCCCAGGAGCGCACAGCCAGATCCGGTGGTCTGCTCCTACCTTCTGGCTGCTGGATCATTCCAGGCAGCTTTCATGCAGTGCTCAGGGCCCAATTTCAGGGTCGAAGGACACTGGGGTCTTGGGGAAGCTGAGGCCGGGGATCTACAGGGACAGCCTGGACAAAGGGAGGCAGCATTAATCTTCATTTTAGGCCCTTATGGAGTAAACAGTAGAAATATGATCTTGGTAGCCCAACAGGAATGCAAATCACACCGTCAGAGTAATAAAACACTGAAACCCTGATGCACAAAAGCAACACCATATGTATGAAGACAACCTGCATAAATTATAAATTACATCATAAAAATTGATTGCCTATTTGAACAGTTCAGAAGTGGGGGCCTAAGCTGACTTCCGCCCTGCCCTCCGTGGCTTTGGGGAAAGGTCAAGCGGCAGTGTCCGTGGACAGGCCGGGACTGGAGGGACTGGGCCGAGTCTCCTGGCAGTGCTGGCTGGGGCCTGGCACAGCGGCCTAGGAGGCAGGCAGCACACTTTGCCACCGCAGTCAGCAGGTTCTGCAGGGCTGGGGCAGAGAGAGGGTCGGGAAACAGGCCCATGCACTTGGGATCCGTGGGAGGACCCAGGCTTCTTGGGCTGGGGCGCCAAGGGCAGTCATGTTTCCCGGGTCCCCCTCCAGAGAGACTGCCCCTTGACCCAGGCTCTCCAGGCCGCGCCTGGTGCTGCTGCCCTGGAAGCCGCTCAGATTTTCCAGCTTGAACTCAAAAGTCCCTGTGGGTGCCTCCCTAGGTCCCCTCCGAGTTGGCTCTGTGATAAGCAGGGGTGCGAGTGTGCAAGTGCGCGCGGGTGTGCAAGCACTGGAGTATGTGCGCGTGGGCAGGTGAGAGTGGGAGTGTGTGCTTGGGAGTTAGACGTCCCTTCCACCTCTAACCCTGCTTTGCCGGCTTTATCTGAGTTCCCAATAGTCAAAAGGGTCCTACCCCACTGGCAGAGCCAAAAATGCTGTCCCCGGGGACCCAGCAAAACTGAATGGCCCCTGCGCCCCCTACCCCCAGCCTGCCCCTGTGGACTGCCCCCTCTCACAGAGGGCCCCTTCCGCGGCGGGAAGCCCCTCCCCCATTCTTTCCCCACTGCCTAGAGGACTTCCGCACCCCCGCCCCCGTCTCTTGTCTGTGGCCCCCACCCGGCATCCTGCAGTCCACTTTTCCCCCACTGCCAGGGTTTGTCCTTTGAGCCCTCCCCACATACCCCCAACCTCTAACGCGTGGAGCACCCCCCTACCTTCTGTCCCTCCGCAGTTCACACTGCCTCCACCCCCACCTGAACCTCAGAGCTCTTCCCGGGTCTGGCCTCTGGGCTGTTCCGGCTCCGCACGCCGCAGTCCACCGTCAACACCGTAGCCTCCACCGCGAGCCCCCGCTGCGCACACACACGCGCGCGCGCACACGCACTTATGGCTCCTAGACTGACTCCCAGCGGCCCC